AAATTAGAGGCGTTTTACGTTGGCTTTTCTTTTTTACGCATTCCCTGCCGCAATACGTGCTTTGTCATTATCCTGATGATGAGGGTTTTGTTGATTTACTAGCATTTTTAAGGAAAGTAGGTGAAAATTGGACTGATTATACACAAAGATAAAATTTTTCCACTTAGGGATTAATTATTTAAAAAACATTTTAGCTTGTTTTTAGCTGCTTTGTTTACAATTTAATCTTTGCATTCTAGTTTCTTTTATATATTACTACTTTCCTTACCTTTTTATATACATTTTAAAACTATTTAACTTAATTGTCACACAAATATTACAAAAACTATTATTGCCTTTCTAAGCACTTATTTATTAAAGTACACTTTCCCAAGATTGCAATTACTTTTGGCATATTATTGATGGTTATTATGGCAAGAGCGACAGTATTTGCTTTCTGTGTAAGTACTGTCAAATTATAACACATTATAATGCCATTTGCGGTGGTGGTGAAACTACCAGATGTACAAGATAATTTTCTTTAATTTCGGTTTTCTGTTTAAGCCGCCGCTATCTGTGCTCCCTTTTTGTGGAGTGAGTGCCCCCTCATAATGTTACAGGCTGCGCGGCAACATAGTATCTGCAAGATGCACGTAGCTGTAGCTGTATCTGCTGCTCTCGTATCTGTCGTATCTTCTGGTTATAAATATTGTATCTCTGGCCCAAGACGACTTGGAGATACACGCCGTAGCGTGTTTGTCCGCTTGTAATTGCGTAAACAGACTCGTACATATTTTATTTTATATTTTATTGTTTCGCTCCTCTGCGCTGCGCCATAAGGGCAGATACCTATAATTTTCTTGTGTCTTTCCTACAATGAAAACACACCGAGGCAACAGTGCAACAGCAGCAGCAGCAGAAACCTCAAACTCAAGCTGAAACTGAAACTGAGGCAGAAACAGGCTATGGCAATAATAATCATCATCATCATCACGGTCGCCATCATTATTATTATCGTCGTCATCGTCGTAGTCGTCATAAAGGACAACAGTCGCGACTGCACTAACGACGGAAAAGTGTGTGTGTATGTAGCCCACAATAAATGCGGAATAAATAAATAAAGTGTAACAAAAGGCAGCCAAATAAATGGAAATATAACAAAACTTAACGCAAGGAAAACAAACTTAGAAGGAACGCAGCTGGAACATTAAGTGAAAGCGAATGGAATGGGCAGGAGAATGAACCCCAGTGCATAGGAAAGTTTCAAAGGTTGCCTCGGGTCATATAAAATATATATAAAAATATATATCAAGAACCAAGTGGAGGGGTAAAGTAATTAATTTCTAAGAGTTTATAAAGTTAAATCTTTGATAAAAAAATCAAAGGGTACAAGGTCCCAACTTTAAGGTTCCAAAAATATAAACACTATCAATAAACAATTACGATAACAAATCACATGGCAAATGTTTCCACCAATAAACCAACGAATCTGATACTAAACCTATACTATAAACCAATTAGCCAAATATTTTTCTATAATTACCCCCGAGGCAAGTGCACGGACTTGGGCCATGATTCGATGGCCATTGAAAACCCAGATATACACAGAGCCATAAAAAATTCTATTGTCCCCCAGTATACGCTAATCGTTTTTCATTTTTTTCCCTATTTTTTTTTCATTTCTTTATTTAAACAATCACCGTCGGCCTGTAAATACAAAGATGATTTGGCCAAAATCGGCCAAGTCACTGCGTCACAGTCCCACGAGTCATCCGGCTAACTTTATCGGTCTTTAATATAAGAACTACAAGAGCACTGATCACGTAGCGCCAATAGGAGAGAGAATTAAAAATGAAGAAAAAATAGGAAAAAAAAAATAGGGAAAAAGGAATGAGCGGGGCTGGAGAAATCTTATCAGGGAAATTACAAAGCCAAGAGCTGGCATCGACGCGACTTAAGATTACAAATTGTTATTATGATTATATTGTTGTATTATTTGCGCGGCGATAAGATCTTATGTGGGTTTATGGCTCGCTCGGGTCTGCCATAAAATAAATTACTTATTTATTTCGAGTGTGGCCCTGTCGACCGGCTGCGGCTGCTCGGGCATCGAAAATTCCCTTTTATATAACCTGGGCAAGAACAATTGCTGCAACGTTTATGGCCAAGGCAACAAACTAAAGAAATTATCGAAATTGCCTCGTAAATTATAGAATTCACATATAATTCAGGCGACTGACTGACTGAATTCCCAAAGTGCCGCCTGGCCTTACGAAATCCTTTAATCTTCGAAATGGAAAATGCTTTTAACCACCAGCCCCTGGTACATATGTATACGAATGCCAGATGATAAGAGGCCCCTGAGAGTTTCCCATTGGCAACCGACTCTGATTTCCATACTCCCGGGGTGGCCAACGATCGGCGGGGTTTTATGTAAAACCGGCGAACATAAATTTGATTTATTTCCCGGCCCCGGTTCGAATCAATCAAAGACCTCTAATGAGCTTCGGACCGCACAGGAAACAGCCGGTGACATTTGGCTTAAGTTGGGCTCGAACAAAAAGAAAACTACATAAATAAGGAAAGATTCACACGCTCAAAAAAAGAGCGGAGATATAAAAAGAAAACCTCCTAAACTAACCATTTCCTCTGGATCGCTGGAGTTCAAGCAACCTGCTTTGCATAAAGCCAAAGCAGAAGAACCCACCGAGATGGAGATACCCATGGAGCAATTATGACTAACGCCCGAGACAAAGAGATACTGGGGGGAATTTTCGGGAAAACCCGGGAAAGGGGGCCGCCCTTGGCTGTCAAAGAACTTTCAGCACTCGGCAATTTTCAGTAATATTCTTCTTGCAAAAACAATTCGCAAACGCACAAAAGAAAAGGCACGGCAAATACAAGGAAAAGTCAAGGAACTCCGCACAAAAATTTGCGGAGAATATGAGGCGGGGTGGTGGGAGGACAAACCCTCTTGAATTTGAGTTTCTTGTGACTTTTCCTGACTGCTGGGTTCCCCAGCGCTGCGTGTGTGTCTCCGCATCTCTCTCTCTCTCATGCCCTGTGTGTGAGCTGCTCTCGCCTTCTGGCTTCTATGAATGAAAATGCGATGGAAATGCTAGCGGAGGGGGCTGGGGAAAACTCGAAGAGAGAACACTCTCGGAATTGACTGAGGAAAAGTTGGACTCTATTAAGTAACAGGCTCCCAGCTTCATCGTCCTTCTGCCTTTCTTGCGGCCAGGGACTTCCCCCCAGTGACGTCGTCAAATTTTGGTGGTTTTGCGGAATGAGGAAAAGTAAAAGAAAATGGGAAGAGGAAGCCTCTCCTTCTGCGCTTTTACTGCCGTCTATTTCTTCTTGATTTTATTTCTCATTTCATTTCAATAAATTAACAAAGGAACAGTAAATTGTGCGAGCCAGAAGCTGCGAATAATATGAGAAAATCAAGGGGGCATCCAAGGGTTTTTGCTCTCTTATATCTAATTCATTTTGCACGCATAAATATGCAGGCCGCTTGCCTTGGTAGCGTATCTTTATATATATTTACAACTTACAGTTGGAGAAATTAATTAAAAGAATAATATTTCTATGACTCTATGATGACTAAGCTAGAAAATATAAGATTTCTTATCTAAAACGTTTACTTTTTATAGAAAATACTATATTGCTGCTTTGAAAATGATTAATTTCTTAGAAATGAATATGATTTAGATTGTATACACTTCCACAATCATATTCTTGAATTATTTGCTTAGTGTACAAGCCAAGTTTCATATTCATGAGCAGCCACCCATTGATTATATGGATTTATTTACATAAGTTCCGAGTTGTATATAAACAATTCGAGTGCAAAAGTAATGTGGAAAAATATGCCGGCTCAAGAATAATGCTCAATGTCACACATTAAGTGTTTATAAACAAAAAAAAAAAAATAGAGAAAAACATAGCCAAGAATGCAGCCAAAGTGCAAAAAGTGAGGGAAAATCGGAGGCGCATTAGTTGCAATTATGGAGAATCAGATGCACGAGACGGACAAATCAAATATTTGTGCGACTTTTTGTTTGCCTTGCCATCAATTTTTTGCCAATTGTTTATAATTTTGTTGAGTTTCCCTCTCTGTTGCTCTTCGGTGTCTTTAGCCAGTTTTTGTCCCCGCATTTGTGTGTGTGCGTGCATTGTGCAATTTTCGTCATTAGCATTAAATGTTGTTGAATTATTTTTCAAGTCGCTGACGCACTTAATGTCGCGACCTCGTCGCCCCCCTGTGCCCTCGAGTCGGTTTTCTTATACAAATAGTAAATCAGCTTTAATTTGCAATCTAATAGAAATAACAACGAATAAGGTAAGTGCGGCCTGCGGTAAATGCAAAAGATTTCGTTAATATGCATGCACACTGCACCCTTCACCCTTGCACCCTGCACCCGCTTTCCCAGCCCCAAACGATAAATAAATAAGTGAGCGGCGTACGCGGCGTATGCGCATTATGCAAAGCGGAGGAAGAAGCGGGTCTCTGGGGTCAAGACGAAGACGGGGAAATGGAGCCCGACTTGAAAACTCTATGCTTGGATGGGTTTTTTCTCTCCAAGTATCAGTTCTACTCGCCTAATGCCTCTCTCTCTCTATATATATATTAATTGCTTTGGCGGTGCAATTATTTATCAATATTTATGATCGTGCTTCTGTTACTTTGTATCAGATTTGAATTTAATGATCTAATTTATTCGCTGAGATCTGTGTCATGTATTTGCATGTAAGTGGATTTTAAAGCCGTAATATTAGTCACAATGATCACATGGCTGGCTAGATGATTTCATGGCTTTGGCAGATAACCTCTGCAATTATTACTCATTATTTATCCTAAATCTAGCTACTTATTCATTGTTAGTTTTTAGTGTTCTTTGAATTTGTTTAATTTATATTTATATATGAAAAATTGGCTCCCAAAGAGGGCTGCTTAAAATCTTTTAAAACAAATTCATCACTTTATTTATGTGAACATCTTTGGCCCAATTTCAAGAGATTTATTTTGATTTTCTTTTCCGTTTTCGGGGAAAAATAAATTTATCATAATGTCGGTTTCAACTAAGAATATGCAAAATGTTTAATTTATTAATAAGCTTTAATCTATTTTGTGAATAAAATTATACTCAGAGGGTTTTCTCTATTTCATTTGCAGAATAAAATTGAATATATAAGAGTTCAATAAAATTATTCAAAGAGGAAGGAAAGAAATGGGAATTCTGTTAGAGTTTTATCAACCAAAGTCTTAAATTTCTAAAAAGTTTTTTTAAATACTAAAAAATAAAACTAATATTTTATACAAGTATTATTATATTATAATCACTCACCCTCTCTTCTTCGCGAATCATCTCGGCAATTTCCGGCTTGATTTCCATGTCATCGTGATGGGAACCCACTGATGAGACAGAGGCACTGCCTCCTACTCCAGCACCGCCAGTCGGTGCACTGGCTCCCGATCCTGCGCCCGAGCCAGCTCCCGATCCCGAGCCTGCTCCTGCGGCAGCTGCTGCCAGAGCACTGGCCATGGCATGCGAGTGAGCCAATTGATGTTGGGCGGCCAACTGCTGAGCAGCAGCAGCGGCGGCATGGTGATGCATGGCGGGTGGAGGGGGTGGCACAACGGCGGCATGGTGAGCGGCAGCAGCCACGGCGGCGACCATGTGCGGGGGCAAAGCAGACTGGGCGGCCACTCCGCCTGGCGGGGAGTGCATGGCTGCCGAGCTGCTGCCATTGCTGTGTCCCGATGCTGGTGGCGGTGAGGAGCAGTTCCGCTGGGATCCTCCGGCGGAGGAGCCGCCTCCATTGCCGCCCGACAGCGACTGGGGATTGGGCGAGGCAAAGGGATTGCGCACGATCGTCGAAGTGGTCATGGCCAGTGGCTGGTTGGTCTGATTCTGGCCGGGAGTCGAGGTGGAACCGCGCTCCGAAATCTCCGACTCGCCGCCCTGCAGCGAGGGACTGGGCGTGGCATAGCTACCGTCATGGGAGCGCTTTCGCTGTCTCTTGTTGAGATCCAGGGCGCCGTCGGCCAGCATGCGCGGCCTCTTGGCCTTGAGCTCATCGTCCGCATCGGGATCGTCGTGTTGTCGCAAAATGGCAGTGGCTGCTGCCGCCAGCTCCTCGTCGTCATCGTCGTCGTAAACGGACATTGGATGTGCGGATGCCCCGCCATCTCCGCGACCCGCACTGACCTCCGCCAGGCCCCTGATCTTCAGGGTCTCGGCCACCTTGAGCAACGGATTTATCTGATCCTGGCAAACGTTGATCTCCCCCTTGTACATAAACTCCACCAGAGCCTTCAAGTCCGACCAGCTCACGTCCCGCATGATTATAATGGGATGCTGGCAGGGATTATCGTAAAATAAAGCCTGGAAGTAGGGCGAGCAGGCGGAGAGGACCATCTTGTGGGCCTTGATCGACTGACCCTCGCAGGACAAGGTGACGTCCACGAAGGACTCGCTCTGCAGCAGCTCGTCAAAGACATTGGTCAGGTTGGACTGGTAGTTGTTCCAACGCAGACAGAACTGCTGGTTGTCCCCGCCACTGGGAGGAGTTACCTTTCGGCGCGGAGTCTTCAGTTCCGGGCTGCTCTTGACCTTAGACTCCATGGGAGGCGATGATGATGCCTGGCCGAACTCGAAGAGAGCCGATGCCGCCAGCTTGAGGCTTTGCTGCTGGGGCTGTGGCGAGACGGGCAGGGAGCGGGACTTTTTGGCCTCCAGGCGGAGACGCAGCTCCTGGTCGTCGGGATCGCGGAGACCCACCACCTCGCTGGAGGTCAGCGGGCGGGGCGGCGGTGTCAGGGGCTGTTCGTTCTCCAGACTTGACTTTGGCTTCACCAGCACTGTGTCTGCTGTGTCTGCATCCTTCTCCGTGGACTTGATGACACCTGTGTCGGGTAGGTCTTTCTCTGTTTGAGGATCTGCCTCTTTGGGGTCCTCAAAACTAGTTTCCACTTCTCTCTCCGGCGAGGATCTCCGATCGCTCTCCTCCGAGTCCTCAATGAGGGGTTGTGACACCATTTTGGGATCTTCTACGCTGGGCATTGTATAGTCACTCGCCTCGAATTGATCTCCCTCGTACTCTGACTTCATTTCAAAGTCCATTATCTGTTTGGTCATGTCCATGGTTGGCTGGATGTGGTTTCCGTTTGTATCTGATGAAGTGAAGGTGTCTCTCGCGGATCCCTAACACATTTTTAACCGTGCCGTTACGAGAACTTTTCCGGGCAGAGCAGTTCAAGCGCTGGAAAAGAGAAAATTTCACATGATTCTCAATATAATTAAAAGTACAATTCAAAGGAAACTATAAACTGGCGATTTCGCACATTTATCCAATCATCTATCAGTTTAAATTACAAATTTTAATATTCGACAGCCCCACCAAGTGGGGGAAATATTTCAATGAAAATTCTTTAGCAATTAAAACCTATATGTTTACCTGTATAAATTATTTGTTTTTTTCGGTTCTTAAAAGGCCTTTGCCATTTGAAATATTTCCAATTGAGCTAAGAGCTCAAATAGAACATCTTGCACAACAAATTTATATGAATGAGTTCTCAGCTAGCTTTCTCGGATTGCTAAACCCCATTTGTAAATAAAAAGGAAATGAGTAATTTAGCTTTATATTCTGCTAGAAAAAATATACAAAGCTCTTGTTGTTGTTGTGTTTTCCTTGGAAAAATCATTACTAATATATATTGCGTATTATTTGCATCAACTAATTGAATATGTTCGGTAGAATCTACTTAATATCTTTGGAAGTATTTCATGCATATCAAGCGCTCGCTCTTAGTCATAACTTTATGAAATAAGCCTATTAATCTTGCTTCTCCCTCTGCTGCTGAGTCGAAAATTTCCATGAATTTCTATTAATTTATGTTTAGTATTTCCTACGCCCGACGCCCGCCGCCTTCTGGCACCACCCACTGCCCGCCCATGGCCAGAAATGTGCTTTATTAGCTAAAAGCTAAGCACACATTTATTTATGTTTAATTTGGCTTAATTTATATTACTGAGCTGCAATTATTTGTAGGCTCCTCCGCTCGGCATTGTATTTATACACATCTATATACGTGTACGGGCAGCGGCAAATGAATATATATATATCTTTATATATATAGTATATCTATATGTAGTAATTGTGTGCGCTATTATTGCTTATTTTGTATTGTTGTCTCTGGATCTACTTGCATGCGCACATCGCCCATCTATAGATTTATATTTAATTAAATATTATTATTTATGGCAGCGCTGAGAGAGAGAGCCAAAAGTAATTATATTTATTTAAATATTTTGTATAATTTTAATTTATGAGTGTGCTCGGGGGGATGGGTTGTTGGGTGAGGCTACTGGGAGGTTGAGCCCGCATAAGGGGGTGGAAAAGTTTCCGCAGCTGTCATAAAATTTAATTATATTTATTATTATTGTTATTATAATTCTTCTTCTTGCTACTTTTTATGTTTATTATTATTTCATTCCAATTAAATCTTGTGGCTGTAGCCACGACTCGACGTCGTCGACTGTTATTATTTTTGTTTATTTTATTGTTGTTGCCACAAAGAGAGAGAGAGAGAAAGCGAGTCATCGCCGAGGGAGCCTCACCCGCAGCCCATCAGTTCAGTTTTTCCCCCTACAGCTGCCCTTGGAGAAGAACATTTTCTCTCCACTCGGCAGCTTTTCCTCCTCCTCCTCCTTCTCGCCTTTTTGGCAACTTTTGGTTTATTGTTATGGCCGCGCTCTGCCTTTTGTTATTCCTTTTATTTATTCATGTTTGTTGCTGTTATCGTCGTTGTAGCTGCCGCCGCCACTGTTCGCATTAAATTTGATGCTTCTTTGGAAAAAGTCAGTCTCAAATAAATAAATAAGTAAATTGCCTAAATGCACAACAAAATCCACAACTACAAACTGAAACGAGACTCAAACTCAAACTCGAACTGAACTTAACTGAACTGGAATGAATTTTTCGGAAATCATATCGTCGTTTTCTTGATCTCTCATAGTTGCCAATTGCTTGGGCACTTCCTGTTTCCTCGTCATTTTTTATTTTTGATTAATTATTTATAACGAGCGCAGCTGTTAAACAACAACACAAAAAAAGCATACTAAAGGGGAATAAACAACAGCGAAATGAGAGCCACTTCTGTGCACAGAACAAAAATATTTAAAGTTCATAAATGTTTCGGGAAATTGTATTTAATATTATTTAGAAGAATTTTGTGTTGAATTTTAATTTAATATAAAATAACTACACTTATATTTATACAATTATTTAATGAAAATTTATATAGCAACTGTAAGGTATCTATAACTCATTTAGTATTAAGCTAAATTATAAAATATTCGTTTATAAAAACGACTTTTTAAGTTAGTTAAAAACACTCTTTAGGATCAAAAAATAAACAAATTATATAACAATTAAAAAATCTTTAGAATAGATCCTTCCCATTATATTTTTAACCAAATTTAAAGTAAATAAAATTAAAAATAAAGTCAGGTACATTACCAAGTAATATATAATAACTTTTTTAAAAGAAAGTACTTTAATTTTATTAACAAATACAACTCAATTTTTCGAGTATATCAAGTTTTTTTTCCTGTGTGCCCTTTGTATTTATTTATTATTATTTTTGTATTTATTTATTTAATTTCGTCTCGAGGTTGTGGATCCTTCGAAGCTCGCACACACACACACACACAGAGGGGGTTGGGAGGAGGTTGGGTGTTTGCTGGGTGGATTTTCAGACAACGAGGCACATTTATATATTGTATATTGTATTTATTTATTAACGCTTATTTATTATTTATGCAGCAAGTAATAAATTACACAGGCGGCAGGGCTCGTTGCTGCTGCTACTGCTGCTGCTGCTGGGCCAGAGTTTGCTGCGAGTTTTCTCTGGGTTTTCTCCTTGCGGAAAATGTTTACAAACTGTTTTTGGCGCGTGCCACCCACTCGGTGGCGGTGGCAGAGAGGCACTCGGAAGCAACTCGCAAAAGTTGCTCCTTCGCGTAAGTTTTCTTCTTAATTCCTGTGCGCCCAAAGACGAGGCAGCAAGTAGCAAGCAGCTAGCTGCGGCAGTGGCAGCAACATCGTAGCCACGGCAGCAGCAGCAGCAGCAGCAACACCATAGCTTTTTACGACCTTTCGGTGGGTGGGATTGTGTTATAAATTAATAAATTACAATTTCTTTGGGTGGAACGCAAAATGCGCGGACGGGATAATTTATATATATAGTACATATACACAATATATATGCACGGGTATACTATTTCTATAAGGTAGGAAAATCGAGGAAAATCGATTTTCGTGCAGCGCCAATTAAATGCAACCTGCTCGGGCATTTGTCGTAAATAATACCACACTATAATTATCTTTAATAATCACGTACACTTCGGTTTGGTCTCCTTCTTTTTCCTTGGCACCACACACTCTGCTTTGCTTTCTTTTCTCACTGTGTTTTTCTTTTCGATGTTAATTATGAATATTAATAAAAACTTCTGGTGTTTATTTTTGTTCACTGCATGCAACACATGCTGCAACTAATCGTTGTTGTTGCTTCACTAGTCACTTGTTGTTGCTGCTTCAGTTCTGCTTGTTGCTGTTGTTTTTGTTGTTGTCACTAGACTTGCTTATGCTGTTGTTGTTGTTGCTCGAGTTTTTTTTTGCCGTGAAAACAAACGTGCACTCACGCCGAAAGTAAAATATCTACTGATTTCACGGTACATCGTATCCACTGAATACGTCGTGCAATGAATGAAACTCGAGACCGCTCAGTCTGCGTCGCCGTCGACGCCGGCAGCGCTCGGCGAGTGAGAGCGCTCGCGTTCGCTCGGAGGGGTAGGAGAAAGGCGAGAGCGAGGTGGTGAGAGCGCCGGTCGTTTTTCCGGTTTTTGCGGCGAATTCGTTAAGAGTAAGCAATTGGTTCTCTTAAAAAGAGGCATTTAAGTAACTAACAATAAAAATGTAGGTTTTTTGGGATTTCATTTTTATCACTTGAAAGATCTTCATGAAGATATGTTTAGAAGGTTATGTAAGTGATATTAGTAATTCTCATTTTATCTTATTTTGTCAAATGTATTTTGTAAAAATATGAAAAAATGATATTGGTTTATATTAAATGGTAAATTTAATATATTGGTAAAATTTTAGATCGATCGGTTAAGATTTATTTTTAATTTTTGTTTCCTAATTATTATCTTTTAATGAGTTATCTTTTATACTTTAATACCTTGTTTGATGTTTTAAAAGAGAAAGATATCCAAGAAAGCTTCGACCCGACAATTACACTGTTTACCAATTCCTTCAGATTGAAAGAAATTCTATAATTATCGATGGAGTTGGTAAAAGGTAAAACTGTAACAATTAGTCGTCAGAAATGCAGGCGATCGAAATCTGTGTCAACTAATAAGATAGGTTTAATTAATTTAATGAATTAGTTATTTTCCCTAGAGATAGGATAAGATTTCCAATAAAATAATAATTATTATTTACATTTTATAGCTATCTACAGGGAAAAATACTCAAATAATAAAATCGTAATAAATGAGGAAATCAAAACATACAAAAATAAAAACAAATTAAAAGATTTGATTACTATTTCTTGTAATACAACTCCAAAGTTTTCTAAATCCAAATAGATATCTATCATATCTGAAAGTCTTTTTTGGTATAAACCAATAAAAACTACGCTACGGAAATATAATTTTAAATTTTTTGAACGTTTTTTTAATATATTAATTTCAACTTACATGTTATTTTTTTACTTTCAGAAAATATTACAACATTATATTTTGGTAAGTTTGAAAGCAACTTTATAACATAATATACATATATGAAAATAAAAATAATGTTGACTACCAAGATAGGTGTTAAGAATTGTTATTTATTTATTATTTTTTTTTTTTGTCTTCGCATTATTTTCATTTAAAGAAATTTAGTGGACCAAATTGGTTTCTCGAATCACTTACCGCCATATCTCTATCTTTGTAGAATGGGTATTCAATCAAAACCGGCCATATTTCACCCAACTCATCCCATAAATAAATCCCCCAAGTAAGAATCAAAGGAAATCGCGAATTAAGAAAGGCAAGTAAAGTATAAAGCCTAAAAACGCCAAAAATTGGCGAGCTTGAAGAGATAAAGAAGCAGCAGCAGCTGCTGCAACAGCAAACTTGCAGCAGCAACAAAGCGCTGCAAGAAAGAGAGATGCTGACCAATGTCCGGCAAGAAAGTGTTGCCAATAGTTGTTGCCAACCCTCTGGCGGCAGCTCCTTTAGCCGTTGTTGTTGGCTTCGGCCCAAAACTATGGCAAAAAGAGCAGAGAAAAACGGCGCTCGCCACTTGGCCACGCCCCCAAAGCTGGCCGCAAAGCCAGCGCCGCATGGGAGTGAGGTGAGCCAGCAAGCTAGGTGCTCCCGCACACACACGCTCGCACCCATTTGGGGCGAGAGAGAGTGGAGAGGGAAGCAACAACAAAAAAAAGCGAGCCCCAACGAAACGAACGAACGGAAAACGAAGCTTCGGCTCTACTCTCTTCTATGCTACTGCTGCTTCTTCTCCTTGGAGGAGGCAACGAAAAGAGCAAAAGAGCACACAAAGGGGAGACGGTAAAATGGCAAAAAAAAAAGGGGGAAAACTAGAGGAGAAGAAAAGGAGGCAAAGACGCAGGCAAGTGCAGTATTGCATTGCCAGTGTTGTTGTTGTTGTCCCGCTGACGTCACTTGGTAGGCGGCGCTACGAACGCATTTTTAATATTCGGCTCTCTTCTTGTCATTGCTTTTGTTGTAGTCGTTGCTGTTGTTGTGACACGCACCTCCATTGTGGCAATTGTTGTTGCTAGTTGACACGTGTGCGCAACCAATAACAACAACTAAAATAAATCCCTCTCCGTTTCAGCGTATGTATGTGTGTGTGTGCGTGCGATTTTGTATATTTTGCATATTTTATTCCATTTGCCTCTCTCTTTTTTTGTGACCTTTTTTGCGCTCGGGCTTTGGAAACGAGCCTCCGCATGCTTCGTGCTCGACGCCGATTGGCCCGACCACTCGAAATATATATATATCTTATATATATTTTGGGTTTGGGGCCATATGAAATACTTTTATATATATATATTCTGCATATATAAATCGGGGGCGTACATGGGCAAAAAGCGTATCGCATCGCAAATGATTCCAGAGGCCCGAGAATTGGCGAATCGCTGACTTTTCTACATATTCTTCTTTGTGTTTTAGCTTTCTTTTGCGATTTCTTTTGTTCAGGGATTTATATGTCTTGAGATGGTTTTTTCTTTTTATTGGAAAATGTTGCGCATAAAAATCCGGGGACTACCATGCGTATGATTTATATTGTCACCAGGTAATAATTTTATTCGTTTCTTTCAAAGCCTTTCAAATTTTGTTCAACAAATCATTAAATAATAATCTATATTCTAATATTTAAATTTATTTATTTACATACTATTCAGTATCTTGTATTTGAAATACAAATATTACGTATACGCAGCAATCGTCATGGTTTGCAAGGGCATCTTAAGTATTCAAAAAATATTTTGAAAAATATGGATTTATTTAGTAATAAATAACATAAATGAAAAATTACATAAATATATGTAGAGTTTAAATAATTTGGAAACCAGCACAATTTTTTTGTGTTTTTTGTATCTAAAAAATTATCTGAAATTATCAACATTAAAGAAAGATCTTCTCCTTCTTCTAAACATTGCAATAAATCGGCCAAATTTGTTGCGATCTTTGCTTAAAAGTAGCCATTGATTTCAATCAATCTCCAGCATTTCGTCACATTCGATAGCAGATCCTATCTAACTCCATCCATTCCTTCACTTTTCACCTAATATTTGGACTGGCAGCGAAAAACGCGACGGCGCTTTCGTGGCGGAAATGAAGGCCCTTTCCGCTTGACAAGTCCGAAGATGGCGACCGAGTGCAGTTGCAGAAACAAAAAAATACAACGGAAAATCGGAAAACTAACCGGTCCGCTGGGAAAGGAAACTAGCGCGCTTCCGTGCAGCAGCGATGAGGAAATTCAAAGTGAAATTATCGGAGCAGCGTGAAGAAAGCGTGTGGAGTAACAGGTTCGGGGGCAGTGGTCTGGAAACCACGTTAAAGGACATCCGCTGGCAAAGTGAAAGAGTTCAAATTGAAATAAGAAAAAAGAAAAAACACCAGACCATCACACACTTACGGCCAAAAGAGAAAGCAATGGCCAAAGAAATGGCGACAGGAAATGGCTAAAGCCGAAGCAGGTGCTTCGATATAAAGTTTGTCGATATTGAAATGCCCTTTGAAATAGAAAAGATTTTCCCTTGAAAAGTATATTTTTGTAATTTTACAATACATTTTTCTGAATTTAATTTATTCCGATCCCCAAATTCATTACATACTTCAAGGAGTGCAAAGTGTATACCCCAGAAATTGAATCCATAGATCACATTGAATTTTTTCATTGATCAACCAAATCTCCCTTCGAAAGAGTAAAGAATCCTAATGAAAATAGAAGTAAAGAGGGACTCTGTTTATACCAGTGTCACCTGCAGGAGCTGAATATAAAAAACAGGGAGTGAGGGGGGAAAAGGAAGTCGGAGAATGCCTAGAAAGCCTAGCGCCTTCAGTGGCCATCCGTAGAAGTGGCTGGCAAAAAAAAGGGAAAACTCTCGTTCTTTGCCAGTTTTTCCAAGCTTCTCTCAAACGCACCCTTGAAGCCACTTCAAGCTTTTCAAGCTCTCCAAGCCAGATATTGGAATCAAGGACAAACGGAATGATAACAGTAGCAAAAAGCATAGTAACCTCAAAGGTTCTGTGGAAGAAGCTATACAAAAGACATTACTTCTTGAAAACCTCAACAAAAACCTTATGAAAAGTGGGATTTTCTAAATGAAAACTAAAAAACTTTAGCAGCTTCCATTTTAAGGGCCTGCTTAGCGATGCAATCCTACAGCTTGCATATGTTTTCCGCTGCTCCTTTGCTCTTTTCCCCCTTTTTCCACTTCTATTCAGGGATTTTCTGCTGGTGGCCACTGCGGCTAAGGCTGCTTAAAGTGTGGATCACGCAAAACCAACGAGCGACGCATGAAAAAAAACTGAAAAAATGAGACTGCCGGGCACCACAACTGTGAAGAATGGCGGCGGGGGAATCCTAGAGAGGTGAAACCGCCCGCGGAGGGGCAACAAAAGAAGTGGCCACATCAGCAGCAGCAGCCCACCCGGCCGAGACCACCGATGCAGCCCCTGGAGGTCCTTCGCGTCGGCCTCGGTCAATTGGGTAGCCACCCGCCTCGTCCTTTTTTTTTTGCAGAAAATTGCGCATACGCGACGTCGTTGCTCCTCATCCTCGGAGGAAAGGAAGGCCTGCGTCGGAGGCGTTTTCTCTGCCGCTTTTATTTCCCGACTTTGGAGCCTGGCAAACGTGCGCCAGCTAACAAAAGAGTTTCTAATGATTTTTGCGCCATGTTTGTTGTTGCCTGCAATACACTGCAATAGGGATAATTAAAAAAAAATGTATCTTAAAAAAATTCGATACCTTGAAAAGCGATGGAACTAAGAAATCATATTTTAAAAAGGGATTTCTCAGTGGAAAATATAAATAAACGGATAAGCCTCTCTTAAGAAAAATTCCAATAAATAATTTTAAACTTGACTTGAATACACATTATGTAAAAAAACAAAATAATAGGACATTTGTTTTTAAATATCAAAAA